GGGGGAGGGGTGGCGGCGGCTCCACGCGCCCGCGCTGCGTCAGTCGCCCACGGCGGCGGCGGCCCCGCGATCGCTAAGGAATGCGGCGGCGCCGCATTACCACGGGGTCAGAGGTCACGGCTCCGGCCTTCGCTTTCCCGCTCCGCTGAGGGACCGAGACAGGACGGGCGGTGGGGCAAGAAGGCTTTTCCTTCGGCGCCCGGGTGTGTGCGTGTCTGCCGTGGGTGTGTGTGAGTGTGTGTGAAGAGTGAGGAGGGGGATGTAGGTTTTTTTTTTTTTGAACAAAAACAAACCGAAAGGGTGGCTGGGAATCGTAGTCCCGGCTGCCTCTCTGGCCTCCCCCGCTCCGGAAGAATATGGCTGCATTAAACGCTTGGACCACACTTCCCGGCGTGCTCCGCGGTCCCTCTTTTCCGCTCTCCCCCTCCGTTCCTTTCCTTCTCTCAAAGCTCGGTAAAGAAGAGGGACGGGCCGCCGTTCGGGGAAGAGACTGGGTGGAGTATCGCGAGGTCCGGGAACTGGATGGGGGCCTGAGGAATTCTGGGAGGCGATGCTGGGAAGGGGCGGTGGCCGGACTCTGCTAGCCATACTTAACCCGTACGGAGTCTCGGGCAGTCTGGCCAGTAAGTGGGGATCATGAGCTGGTAGCTTGACACGCAGCGCCAGCACCCACTTTGTGCCTCTCCCCGCCTAAACGCTTACCACCTACATTTCTCGTAGGTGACAAGAGGCAGGACTTTTTTTGGTCCGCCCCTAAATGACTCACCGCCGCATAATAAATGAGAAGACGTTCTTACTAGTGAAACGGTTATTCCACGATAGATAGACCTAGGCAGTTCATTTTCTCCTGTGCTTTCCTGGCTCCATGTATTCGCACTGGCTGCACCCGCAGCCTAGAACGCCTTTACCACTTGGTGAATTTGGTGATATGACGACGGGTAGTGTAAAGAACTTGGATTTTGGGGCCCACTGACCAGAATGCATCCGAGGCCTTTAACTCTCTGGACTAAAACGAGCCCTGGAGTCAGATGGACCTGCACTAGAATCTTGGCTGAGCCACTCCCTGGCTTTCGGCCTAAAACTAGTAGTTCAACCTCTCTGAGCCTGTATAGAAAATTTACAACGAGTCTAATAGTTCACGGCATTATTTAGGTTAGAATTAACATATAACACCTAGCGACTGGAAGAGGGTGTGAAGGAGGACCTTGACATTAGGTCCATAGAATTTGGCTCCTGCATACAGCAAATGTTTAATAAATGGTAGCCGTTATTATTACCAGCTGAGAGACAATGGGCAAAATACATAGCCTCTCAGAGCATTGGTTCCAGAACGTTAAATAAGAAGTTCAGAGCACCCAGCAATACAGCATGTTTTCTGTCCCTATTTGTTGAACCAATGTTCGAAAACATTCCTAGAGTCAGTGCTGAACTGGATTAATGGACAGCTCTAACAAACCAGGCTCACGGTGGCCACATTTGAAACAATTTTCCTGGGTGGGGAAACACACTCTCTACTTCCTGTTGTTAGCACATAGGAGAGCCAGTGCTGAGAGAAGACTATTACTGCGCTGCCCAACCTCTGACACCAAGGCAACTGTTCCTGCTTCTAATACTGGTCACACAGAAGATTTCCACATCCAATAAACAAGATCCTGAAAAGTGAATAGCCTGCAGAAAGTGAAATAAAGCGCGTTTCTTTCCCTTTTAACTTCACCCCAAGGTGGGGAGAGGAAGAACAGCCCCTCAAAAACAAAAAAAAGAAAGAAATTAGGTGTTTTGGTTTTTTTACTTTTTTTTTCATCTACAGCTGACAGATTAACCTTTGTCATTTGGCTTGTTTCAAGTTTCTTCTTGAGTGGCCTCACCCCCTCTGATCTCCAACAAGTAACTAGAAAAGATTCACTCTAAAACTTACATGTTTATCATGGGTCCTGTAGGGTTGCTATGAGACAGAATCGACCGGCAGTGGGCTTGGTTTGGTAGCAGGCAGAATAATGTCCTCCTCTCCCCACCCCCAACCAAGCTGTCCACACCCTAATTCTTTGAACTTGTGAAGGTGTCACATTCCATGGCAAAAGGGACTTTGCAGATGGAATTAAGGACCTTAAAACAGGGAGGTTACCCTGCATTACCTGGGCGAGTCCAGTGTAATCACATGGGCCTTTACAAATGGAAGAGGAAGGCAGAAGAGATGCTATGGAAAGATGAGGCAGAAGAAGAAACAGACTTGAAGCATGAGAGGAACTCTACCCACTGTTGCTGCCTTTGAAGGGGAATACAAGCCAAGGACTGTAGGCAGCCTCAAGAAACTGGGAATAAGCCCTGCCAACAGCCAGCAAGGAAATGGGGACCTCAGTCCTACAGCCTCATAGAACTGAATTCTGACAACAACCTGAATGAGACTGGAAAAAGATTATCCCCTAGATCCTCCAGGAAGGAACACAGTCCTGCTGACACTTTGATTTCAGCCTTATGAGACTCTAAGCAGAGAACCAGCTGAGCTACACTGTGTCCAGACTTCTGACTTACAGAAAGCGAGATAAATAGATATTGTTTTAAGCCACTAAGTCTGTGGTAACTTGTTACAGCAGGAAAGGAAAACTAATACAGGCAATGTGGAAATGCCTTTTTAATTCTGGCAGCAAACACTGACTGGCTCTCACAGTTGGACCAAGCCATGGGGGGATCCAGATGTGAGTATTTCAGGGTCTCTTCCTTTGCAGAAAACAAACAGAAATGACAGTGTCATTATGAAATGTGAAAACAGTATATTCAGAGTACTATACAAGATACGTTGGAAAGTTGGCTTTAGTCATTAAACCTAAAGTAGTTGTGATTTTTTTAAGTGAATGAAACTCATGAATTCTCTTGTCAGATGCTCCAAAAACCAATTTTATGTTTTTTTGGTGTTTTTGTTTTTATTATAAATTATCTTCAGAAGTCAACACAGGTGCCACGGGGCGGTAAGATCAACAGGTCTGATATTCAACCCTGCCCTGTTTGCGGATGAGTCACTGTTTTCAAACTGCACGTTTATGAGCAAAGCACATATTCAGAAATCTGAGTAACAAACATGCCACCAACAGATACCCAGGAATTCCCAAAAGGACACTTACATACCCCCTGAACCTCACTAAGAGATGATGTATTACCACTCTTTGGACTTTGGCGGGCCTGAGTTTGAATCCCCTTGCAGTCTTTCCCCAGCTGTGTGACCTTGGGCAAGTTGTGAAACCTCATGGATAGACTCGATGCCATCATTTGGACACTCTGGGATATCATAACAAACTCAAGGAGTGAAAGTAGGATAAATGGGATCTTTGTGAAGTACCTAGCACACAGCAGACACTCACAAAATCCCAGCTCTTTTTCCCTGTGCCCACTCTAAGTTTAGTGTCCGAAGTATAAAAAGTGCCTCATGTTATACTTCAATGACCAAGCCCTAAGTTAGGGCTTGCCACTCTAGCAAATGTTATACATCTTACCCCCATTTCCAAATGAAGCTGAGGTTCAGAGAAGTCAAATTACCTCCCTCAGGTCCCAAATTAAATGAGATCATGTTTGCTAAACTTTCCGCATAGCAGGTGATCAACAAATGTGTAGCTCTCTAAATCCTTCCCACATTTCATTTCTTTGTATTTTTGGTTTAGTATCTGTGCTCTCACTAGCATCTACTTGGGTTCATCATATTCCCAGCATCTGGCATATGGTAGGTAATCCGTTGAATGAATGACCCTATCTCAATAATTACTTTCTTGGAGAAAAATCCTTGAGGACTGATTTCCTGTTGAAAGAGCCCTAAGCAGTATTGCAAAAGATTGAGGCAGGATTCACCCAAACATATCTACGCAAGTTGTAAAGATACTCAGGGATTTCATGACCACGCTATTCTCACCAGTCATAGAATCTGCCTATGTGATGAGTAGGTAGCCCAAACTCATAGCTCACCTGCCCATCATCATCATTTAAATCCAGTGCTGTTTTTCAGCCTCACATGAGGCTAGCAAAAGTGTCTAAATTACATTTTAATCCACTAAAATATTACTAATGGTTACCTCTGAATTGTAAGATTATGGGCAATTTTTTTTCTACATTTTTTTTAATTGAAAAAAATTACTTTTCATTTTAACCACAAGACAGAGCATTTAGATTAAGATGGAAGATTGTGGGTGATTTTTTTCTTCCTTATACTTGTCTGTATTTTCCAAATCTTCTAGAATGAGTATGTGCTACTTTTATGATAGAAAAACAAAAACTTTATGCAGTATGGTTCAATAATGTGAAACTATCTTGAATAATGGAGCCCTGACGGTGAAGTGGTTAAGAGCTCAGGCTGCTAACCAGAAGTCAAATCCACCAGCCGCTCCTTGGAAACCGATGGGGCAGTTCTACCCTGTGCTATAGGGGCGCTATGAGTCCAGATTGACTTGATGGCACACAATAACAACAGCAATTTTCAATAATAAATTCCCCCTTTTTGTTTTCCTTAAAAAGATTTGTGGAGCCCCCTAGAATGGCCTCAAAGGATGGCGTAAGACAAGTTTCACCAAAATTGTGGAGATGACAGCTGCCTGCCTGGTTATTAAGGTTTTCAGGTGGAGCTCTAGGACCTCACTAAGGAGCCTATCCCAATTTTTAATCTCTTAATGCCAGGGAGATGTACCATAAATCTTTCTGGCCTCAATTTAAGCCATTTTCTCTACTTTTTGCCCTGTGAAGAAGGAAAAGAACCTGTAAAGTGCATTTTAATGCCAAAATGCTAGAGCAGTTGTGCCAAAGTGATGGGATTGGTGGATGGGTTATTTCTCCATTTTCAATGTTCTATAATAATAAGATGC